TGTGTGTGTGTGTGTGTATTAAATGTGGGGGCAGAGGGGTAAGTCGGGAATGGCTTGGTTCAGCAAAGCTGAGCGAGCAGAACTGCAGCCGCCATGTGAAAAATGAACACATTAAAGTAACGTTTGAGAACATCTGGGTTAGGAGAACTGGTTTGTAAGAATCTACATGTAGCTAGGAGATTTACAGACAGTAATTTAGAATTAAGAATCTAAAAGAACAAACCAAAAACCCTTAAAAGTGAACCAGTTTAAACAAATTTGCATCAATCTGGTAATATCCGTACTGGTCTGGATATTGGAAAAAATTTCAGATCACGTATTGGGGACAATATGCATGATCCATAAGAGATTTAGTCAGCCTAATTTTATGATTTATTGTTTATTTTACATTGTTTTTAGCATTCAAATGTTTCACTTCCTGAACCATTTGAAAGCAGGTTTGATGAAGTTTAGTTTTTACATATTCAACCCAAGATCGCCTATTGTTTTTGTCAGTTTTAAGTTTGCTATTTATTTCACGTTGGTGGTTATTCCCCTAATTGCACTCACTGAGCCAAATGAAAGTTGTTTTTACGCGTTGGATCAAGCTTCGGAAGCTATTGTTGCGTGCAAGTGTACTGTGCTGGGCAGAGTTAGCAAATAAATGAGCAATTCAGCATGTTTCTTGTAGTTCAAAGAAACGTTTTAAGTCAGAGCAGCAATGTGTTTTCTGTATCCGATCAGTATCAGCTGACGCTAAATTTGTATCACAAAAAGAGAATCTGTGCGTCTCTCTCTGCAGGTTCGTCTGTGAGCTTGTGTACCTCAGCCACTTTGAGGAACTCCGACAGCTTTGTCATCCTGTAAAGAAATTTCTTGTAGATCTCCAGAGCGTCTTTACACTGGTTCTTCTTCATGTCAAAGTATTTCTCTACAGGAGAAAAAAAAACAAAACAAACACAGACAGTGAAAGATTAAAACTGAGCAAAAAATGAAAAAGGTTTTACATGAGGAAGAGACAAAACGGTAAGAGCTTCTATGTGTGTGTTGGTGTTGACATATCTGTTAGACAGCAGCATCTGCATGACTGAACACATGGCCAGTTGCCCTGAATTACACATCCTCCAGTACTAAAGGTGTCATTACAATAACCCATTACACCACTGAACGCTACGTTGCCCTGCAAAAGCAGTCGTACTTATGCTATAACCACAAACTTTAACATCGTTTATTTGGGTTTTATGTGACAAATGAAATCCAAATTCTGTCGAGAATCTACAATTATATGCTACATTCTCGGCAGAATGTAGCATATAATTGTGAGGTAGGAGGAAAAGGGCTGAACGATTGCCATTCTTTTCCCTTCAAGAAAGAAAATCTTAATCACGAATATGCTTTGATCCAGATCGTTATATTGCAGCTGTATCTGTCTGGATGTTTAGGTGAGCTTCTTGCAGCCTCTGTCCATTTTCCCCATCAGTTGAGATCAGCTTTCGTAAGCCTCTTTGTTACAGTCTGTAGGTTTAGCAAGAGAAATCTCCCCCCCAAAAAAGACAACAACGTTTGTAGTTGTAACAAAGAAAATGTGTTTATAAAGAATGAATGTGTTTGGTTTGAACCCGTCACCTGTCCAACAGAGAGAATGTTTCTTTAGTTGACCTTGTTCTATCTTAAAAAAGCTCATAGGATTTCAGATATGGATTGATTAATCATGATTAATCAATTTATGAAATGATCGCCTACTAATTTAGTAACTGATTAATCGTTAACTAAAGTATACAAGGTAAAAAAATAACAAAAAAAAGGTCAATTTGATGAAAGAACAGTAATTATATTAATGGTAATTAAGCCAAAAACGATATTTTAAAAAAAAGTTATACATACATCTTGCATTAAGACAGAAAAAACCCCAAAAACAAATATGTTCTATCCACAACTCCTCAAGCGGTTCTGCAAAATTCCCTTGTAAGCATCTTTTCCTATCCAAGCACTAACTGGTTAATCCAACAATAACAACCTTGCACTGTACCAATGTTAAGTCAATCAGGTCAACTTTTCCACATGTTGATGATAGAAGTATTTATTTAGCTACAGATGCATCCTTTGTTGAAGTGATCACTAAAGGAATGCTATATTCTTGCATTTTAGGCAAAATTATATATATTTTTTAATTAAAGAAGGAATTGAATTATTTATTTATTTGCATCTTTAAAAGTATTGCATAAAAAAAGCTCAAGTGAAAAATCTGTGGAATGTGCCAATTTTTGCCCAACAATCAATTTGTCAATTAACCAAGAGAATTACTGTTTTTTTTTTTTTTTGTTGAGTAATTATTCAATTATCTAACAAATAATTGATTAATTGGGAGAATTGTCATTCTATCAATGAATGGACCGAATCATTGTTTGCTAAAATGATTGTTAGTTGTGTTCATGTTTTTTTTTTCTTCTTTAAACTTCATTTACACCGAATCAGTTTAACTCTTAATTTGTAGCAGCTTTTCTATAAAGTGTCCCCCAGATATAGAACATATTCTACAGAAATGTGGGCTACTTTTCACGCAGCGCTGCCTAAGATCCACATGTGGGAGGACTGCAGAAATTCATCCAGATTATCAAGTGCAGATGACGAAACCCTGAAAATCTGTCAAAAAATGTAACTGGAAACCATAACTTCAACATGATTGGACTAATTTTCAACAGGCTGAACTGTTTTGTTTTTTTCCCATTGTTCCATGTTAAAAACGATCCAGAACCTCTGGAAGGATTGATAGCTGATAATTTGACAAACTAATGTGACAATTTCCATTTTGCGTGAAATGTTTGTATGAAAGAGACGTGTACTACCCAACAGGTTGATGACTCCTTCATTGTATGCAGCAAAGAGCCTTATGGAGTCTTTGAAGAGCAGCATGAAGGCCGAGTTGATCACTCCGTTGGTCAGCTCGTTAGGATTGGCCTGAAGGAAAGAGGAAAGAGGGAGAGAGAGAGAAAGAAAGAGAGGAACAGAAGAGGAAGTTGCCATCACCAGACTTATCATGGAAGGATGATATCAGACACACAGAAAGATCTTTCACCAGATAACATCACCTTTCCTCCTCGGGTTGGCTGTTGGAAACATCATGCTTGAACATAGAAAATAGCCACAGGCAGGTGCTTATTCTGAATTCAAATGAGATCCCTCCATTTCTATCGGTCTTTGAAGCTCTAAACACACCCTAAAACGTGACCACTACGTCCATAGATCTCAAAGTTCTCGGTTTCGGCTCTGGTTGACTGAATCAGCAGATACCTGAAAGTCCAGCAGAGCGTCCAGCTGGTTCTGGATGATGGGCAGAGTCTTGATCAGCTTCTCCGCGTTCATGGTGCGCATCACGCCGTCGACACTGACAAAACAGGAAGCACACGGTTAAAGGCGAGAGCTTGAGGAGTTAACCTATGCAGATGTTGGTAGAAATGCGAGTGAGTAAACCAGAGTTTTCTCTCTAATGTTGTTGCTGATGGTAGTGTAAAGCTCGAAAATAACGACTGGTAAAAATATAACGACACTTGGCTTCGAAGTCTGACACAGGTCTTCCGAATATGACCTTGTAGAAACACGTAGCCACTTATTTTTAAACCGTAGCTTCCTCCAGCTTTTATTAACTCACATACAGTGGGTGTCTTTCAGAGCTTGGAGGAAGAGAGGAGGTTCGCTTCCTGGCTGAGAGATCAGCCAGGAAGCAATCTTAATCGTTAGCAACGATTAAGATTAGGACTCGGCGTGAAAGTTGGGTGGCCTTCTTTCAAAGCCGTTTCAGCTGTACACAAACTTAGCTCTGTTTCCTTCACGTTTAATGGGGGACGCTCTGAGTCCTTGAACACACTGTGTGGGCGATACATCAGCTTTATGAATTAATACATTACTTTGGTCTTTGAAGATCAACTTTTTTGAAAATCTGGATTTTCTTTTTTTTATCCACTAATGCATTCATTGGGTTTACACAGTTCAGAGTGATGTCTGCCCATACAGGGCGGCCATCTTGATTGACAAGCTTGTTTTACAGATTCTGTTTATTAGGACGTTGAATTCAGTTCAACAAAGGCCCAGGCTACTTTTTTTTTTTTACTTATTAGAATGAAGCCATAATATTACAAGAATATTATACCCTCTCTGTATAGAAGTGAAGTTGAAATAATATGAATAAAGCTCTAATATTAACAGAATAAAGTGGTAATCTTATGAGAACTCCAACACAAAAATACCAAAAAGTTAAAGAGGAATGTTGATCATCTTATGAAAGTATAATTTGGTGTTGTACAGATAAGGAAATTTGGTGTTATACAGATAAGGAAATATTTAATCTTCAATACATCAACATCAAATTATTAGCAGCAGAACTTTGAAACAACTGAGCCGATGACTTTCTCATTAAAACAAGTTTTTGTTTTGTAATTTTAAGACTCCTGGTAAAATGTCATCATTATTCTTCTAATATTATAACTTTATTCTCTTAATTAAACAATTAAAAGGTTTAGTACCCTTCCCTTTATAACCAAAGAAGGAATTATTGAAATAAAAACCACTTTTTGAAATTATTTTACTGTTGTTTGTAATTACATTTTAGAAAACAAATTGGAAAAAATTACTCAAAAAATTAATTTAATTTAAAATGTCATTTTTAAATTATATTGCCCAGTGCTACCTACAACACAAGATTTGTTGAACACAACCAAAACCATAAATAAATAAAATATTATTAATCACAATGCAAATTATAAAGTCTATTTTAAACATACCCTCTCTTCATCTTGGTGAAATCCACAGCCACCAGTCTGTAGGACATGGCCTTTTCGTTCAGGTAGCGACTGTATCGTCTGATGAAGGTTGACATGTCGTAACCTGAAAGATTATATAGTTTTAAACCAACTTCATCCTTTTTGTCTTTATACCATTTGATGTTTATCCATCCCATTTGTGAAAATATGAGACATGATCGCATGGAGTTGTGACATTTGCATACAAATGCAGGCTGTTACCTTGCAGAGCTCCCTTATCCAAGAAGTTGCTGAGGTTGAACAGAGTGTTTCTGGAGGCCAGGTACTGGATGAAACGCTGAAGGACAAAACAGGAAGACGTCTTTAAACAAAGTGAACACCTGAGATTTGTCAAACCAAACTCAAACAGCTGCACATTCATTTATTTATGATTTGGGTTGAGGGGGGGCAAAAAAAACTAAGAAAAAAAACAAAGAAACATTGCTGAACACAACTGAGATGAGAATTCGCAGTGATCAATCATTCATAGCCCCTAGAACCCGTGTTTATATAAATCTCTCTCTGCTGCTGCCGTCCCTCCAGAGCCAGTTTTAAACAGAGCTTTGTTCGCTTTGACAGATCTGATGTCACTGAACAGGTGATGGAAGCGTTTTACATCCCATTTTCCCGACGATGTTTATCCCAGCACGTTGGCTGCATTTTCTAGCATCTCCTCTCAAACCAGCAGTAAATTTATTCAAGAACCAAGACCAGTCCAGGGTTTCTGGAGGTTTCACTAACTCCAATTTAAAACTTTTTTTTATGAGTTGAATGTAAGACCTATATTATGAGCTCCAAAAATGAATTGCAGAGGACCAAAAGAGATATTTCTATTCTACTTTTGTGACTCTAGGTAGCAGCTTTGTGCTTCTCACATGGCGTACTGCAATACGCTAACTGCTAACTGCTGATGAGCCACATGCTGCCTGCTAATGGCTTGTTTGCTTGCTAGCTAGCTTATTAGCAGCTCGTTACCAGTAGCCTTTGAGTCACTGTCAGTGAAGATGCTTGCGCAGGACTCAAATCTTTGCCTGATATAATAGTCCCATTAGAAAGCAATAATTGTATAGAATGTATGAGATTGAAGAGTTTTAAGCGCATTTATTTTGTGTAATTTAAGATGCTTTAAGGCCCTGTTATTAGATAAATTTAGGACTATTTAAGACTTTTAAAGATGAGGACATTCTGTCCATCAGCATTTTCCATGAAAGAAATGAAAAAACAGAGCATTAATGTAGTACCTTAGCGTAGTGTTCCTGTTATCTGCTAAAGCATCAATCACTGCTTAAAAGTAGCCGCCTGAATGAAAAGCCCACATGGGGGCTGAGCAAATTGCTTCCATTGAAATAGCTCCTTACATTTCCGACTTCTTTTCAAACAGCAAAAATAGTCAACTTTCAGTCGTCTTCTCTCCATAACAACTTTCAAATCAAAAAGTGTTGACTTCAGCACTGAGAGTCAGCGTTAATATATAGGAGTTTCCATGTGGCCGGACCCAGGTTAGCACTCGCCAAGCTGAAGATTGTTCAATTACAGTTGGTTGATTTCTCAAAGCACCTCAAGTTTTTAGGGGAAAAACTGTGAAGGAATAACAGGGAAAAATGCTGTCTGAGTCCCTGCAAATATATAAATCCTTCATGATACCGAGATGTTTGGCCAGATGAAATCCCGCTGAAAGACAGCTAAAGTGTACCTTCGTTATAAACCAGATTGTAGCATTTCATCTTCCCTCTTTTCTCACACAGCACCTCAAAACCACAGTAGTTGATGAGAAAAATTTGTACAATTCTGCAACAATTTGAAGAACACAACTCCTATTTTAGTTGTAGTGCGGTTAGATTTTAAATATCGTTTGGAAATCAAACCGGCAACAGGCCTGACTTGAACTTCAGGCTGAAATGATTTAAGATGTAGCCTGGACTCTGTCTCCGAAGATTAATGACCGACTCGCATTTCATCTCTTGAGAGCATCTTCACTACATCGTCCTCCTCACATCTCCGACCAGCAGAGCACTGTGGAATGGGTCTTGGCCGTCATCCACAGCAATGGGAGTTCTGGCCTCGGGCTTCCAGAAACACTGTCTTAAACTTTAAGGCGGACCGCGTCCGGCTGACTTAAGATGATTTGAGAATTGCACATTTGCCAGTTGCAAATCTGGCAGGGAACTAGCCCTCACTGACTGGTTGCAGGATGTACGGACCGTATATGTGTGTGTGTGTGATTATAGGCATAAAAAAATGCTTGCGGGCATGTTTGTTGGAAATCAGTTGCACTGACTGTTCCAAGCCCTCTGGGACTGTTTGAAAAGCCAGAAAGAATGGGATTTTGTTCTTGTCCTTTTCTTGTGTCTACATAGGTGCTGTCTGAGAGAGAGGGAGAGAAGAAACCGATTTCACAAGCGGACGATAATTTAAAATTAAATACAACAGGGACGGCTGGAGTGGAGGTTGCTATAAAAGCTGGGTGAACAAAATGATGTTTGCTTTACCTCGGGGCTGACACCACTCAATAATCGACAGGGGTGACGAAACGTAAGGGGATATCGCAGTATGGATTTACAGAAGAGGTGATGTAAAATAAAGATGAAAAAAAAAAAAACTCCATCAAAGCAAACGAAAAGTTTTGGCTTTAAAATTTAAGAGCGTATACCAGTCTTGGGTACAGCTGCCTTAAAACAAGAAAAATGAATCTACCAAGTCGAGACGAGCAACTGAAAACTAGACATGGGGTAATTATGGTATATAGCCATGGTGAGTTAGCATGAACCAAACTGCAATAAAGCAAATATTTAAATTTAAGAAATAGCATCAATCATGATTTAATGTAAAAATAGAAAAAGATACCTTTAGCTAGAAACAAATGTTGAAAATTCCAATCATATCACAGTGGGGATATCCGTGGGGGCCACAGCTGGCCACCAATACCTAAAATCCATCATTACTCGAGAATCACTTCAAAAACGTCTAAAGCTACCTTTTTTAATAGTTCAAACGCCAAATATGCATTGATATGAACAATGGAAACAGTCTTAGCACTCCTGCAGAAACTCCTGCAGCCTTCCTCAGCTCTGCTCTACAGCCAATCAGCAAGAAGGAAAATAAGAGCTGCTCTTGGATTGGCTCCTCTGCAAACGCCAGCCAATAGTTCATGTGTGGCGTTACACTTCCGGAAACTTTGTTATTGGCAGCCATCTTGGTAGGTATCTGTAAATGACCGTCATGACAGTTGCTACGGAGTTGCAAAGAAAACAATGAACAAGCCACATTCTCTGTCTTGGATCAAACCCGACAACAGTGATTTTGTTGATATATCTTTGTCAATATACATTTCTTTTGGTTTGTCTGGAAGCCATGGTTCATCTGCGCATACCAAGATGGCAGTTCAGTGGCGCGGATCACTTCGGGTTCACTAGCATGTCCAGCAGCATTGAGCTTTCCAAACTGTATTTTCTTATAGATATCTCAGACATGCTCCAAGAAAGGAAAAAAAAAAACATTAAGAATTTGAATTTGCGTTTTATTAGTTGAGGTTTGTCAAAATAATCAATTATAATTTATCAATGTAAATCTCCCCCCATACTCATACCCCATGATAACACCGAAAGATATTTTCAAAGTAAACTCAGAATATGAGGCTGCAGCTAAAAGAAATGCAGCTGCTTCATTATTGAAGTCTGCCAACGGCTTTGCCTCTGGTGATGAAGCTCTGAGATTTCTCAGCTACTGTTTACCATTCTCGTGAAAGGCATGTCTTTCATTCACATCCGCCTTTTTCCTGTATGTATGGCTAGACACCTACGACCCGTCGGCCCCTCCACCCCGTCCGTATCCAGTAAACATTAGTGGTATGAACGTCTTTCACTAGAAATCTGCAGAAATAAAAGAACTTATCAAAGTTTTTGTGCTCAGAGCTAATTCGGAAATGTCAAGGTGCTCAAGAGTGGAGTGGTAGCAATGAACGAGAATCTTACCCGCATGTTTTTACTGCAAGTTGCCATGGTGACGTTAACATCGAGCTCAGATCACGACTCTGCCCAGATCGAGCTTTACTAAGACACTTACGTGGCTGTAGGCTCTGTATTGTTGACTGTCAAATTGCTGTTTTTCAAAAAGAAAAAAGTTCAGCTTTTAAACTGCCACACAGCAGCGTGCGCTAATGTGCTTTGAATACTAAAAGATTAGTATGTCAGGACGAACCCAAGTCAGGATGGAGAAGCTTAGAGATGGTCACAGATAAAAAAAACCCCCAAAAAAACAGAAGAGTCAGAAATATTTAAAAGAAAAATTGAAGACTTCACAAGTTTGGATTTTCTGCCTCTTCTTGTGTGCTGACAGTTCTCTTCCTCATCAAAATCCCTATCCTATCTAACAAGAATCTGTGTTTTCTCCCTTAGCATAGCTCTCAAAGGCGGAGGCGCTGGGCGCGCACGCACTACGCATGAATGTGGTTGAAAAGGAGAAAATCTATAAAGGAGCACAGAGATGTGGAGGGGAAACACATAGGGAGATTCAGAAACCCGCTGAGCCCCAGATTATTCAGCAAAGGAGGAGAAGACGCACTTCTCAGAGGAGATTCAGATGTTTTGAGAAAAGGGGTCTGAGAATAGAAGGGGAGCCAAAGCGGGAGACAAAAACAAGATGTACCGAGTCCTCGGGGTGAGGAGGCTGAGGGAGAAGGAGAAACAGGTCGGCTCGGCTTGTAAAATAATTCATGTTAGCATATTGGAGAACAACCTCATACATTATTGATGCGCAAAGATGCCTCTCAGCTTCAGCTGTGAAAAATAGCTATACATACAGCAGTGCTGCCAGCTTTTGACCAAATCTGCCTCTTATCCTAATTCTGTTTCAGAACTGCACAAGTTGGTAGCTACCATAGTAACTAACGTCACCTGTCAGAGATTATGATGAGGGGAAGCCAAGGCCGTCTCAGAGCAGACCATTTCAGTGCTCAGTGAACTGAAGATAAACTGAGGCACTCAATCTGACTCTGAATTCTACGACTGGTTCATGTTTAGGCTGCCTGCTCGTCTTCAGTCTTTTCAAAGGTCGAACCTGTCCGATATTGACTGATCCAATTCAGATTTCTCTTTTAAAAATGTAAAACGTAACGTACAATATTTAGCTCCAGCTTTTTGCCCAGTCATTTGGATTTGGAGCAAAGAGGTCGTCACACCATGGCGTGCTGTTTTTCTGCTACCAACTTGACACCGACTCACCTTTGCAGCCGACACCATCACTCCAAGAGAGTGAGCCTTTAAACAGTCTCTTGGTTATTAAAGGTCCCAACGTATTCAG